CTTAAGAGCACCATGTCACCCACAGCAAACGTAGCAGGCCTGCGAGTTTTGTCCGCTTGGGCCTTTTGCCTATTCTGCGCTTCGATGATGGCATCCTGAGCTAGCGCCAAATTCATCGACTGGGTTCGAACAAAATCACTGACAGCCGGAACATTGGTATCAGGTGGCTTTAAAAGAGATCCAGGGACTAGTGGATGGTGACCATAGTTCAGAAAGAATGGGGAGAAGCCTGTCGTAGGATTGACAGAGTTGTTGTATGCGAACTCCATCATAGGCAGTAAAAGATCCCAGTCGTTTTGCTTGTACGATATGTAAGAGCGGAGCATTTCTTCTAATGTTCTGTTGGCGCGCTCTGTTTGTCCGTCTGATTGTGGATGGAAGGCAGTAGACATGTTAAGTTTGGTGCCCATGAGCTTCATCAACGTTGTCCAGAACTTGCCGGTGAAACGTGAATCTCTGTCTGACACAATTGTCCGAGGCATGCCGTGCAGTCTAAAAACATTGTCGAAAAAGAGTCGTGCAACATCAGAGGCAGTGTCGGTAGTTCGGCTAGCGCAGAAATGAACTTGCTTGGACAGTTTGTCCACAAAGACCGTAATCGCGTCAAAACCTCTGGCTGTCTTCGGAAGCTTGACAATGAAGTCCATTGTTACAGTATCCCATCGTTGGCTTGGAATTGCCAAAGGTTGGAAAAGCCCTGCAGGAGGCTTTAGTGAAGGCTTGTTACGCTGGCATTGCTCACAGGAAGCAATGTATTTTTTTATATCCCTCGCCATGCGTGGCCAAAAATATGTTCGTCGCATGCTACTGTACGTTTTATCGAATCCCAAGTGGCCTGATATAGGAGCGTCGTGAGCGTCATGCAAGAGTTGTGAACGGAGTCCGTCGTCCTTGGGTATGCAGAGGCGAGGGCCTTGTCCAGCGTTGATCCAGAGTAGACCATCCACCACGAAGTAACGATCCGAGGTAGAGGCATCCTTATACTGATGCACGAGGGGACCTAGAATTGGATCGTGTAGGTAGCAACTGGCTAGTTGTTTTCGAATGCCAGGGTCTAGATTGATATCCAAGGAGTTCAAAGTAGTAGGTGTAGCCTCCAAGTCCTTGAGGTCCGGTCTTCGTGAAAGAGCATCAGGGACGACGTTATCTTTACCAGGTTTATACTTGAATACGAAATCATACTCTTGAAGCAACTCCATCCATCTTGCTTGTCTGCGAGTCAAGTTCGGCTGGCTAGGAAAATGTTGTAGAGTGGCATGGTCGGTATAAACGACAAAGTGAGAACCATCAAGGTAGTATCGCCATGTCTTCAGAGCATGCACCACAGCCAGCAGTTCTTGTTCGTGTGTAGGATAGTTGCGTTCCGCTGGGTTGAGCTTACGTGAAGTAAAAGCTACTGGTCGTGATTCACCATTTTGGTCCGTCTGGAACAGGACAGCACCAATTGCAAAGCCTGAAGCGTCTGTTTCGACTGCTGTAGAGAGGGCAGGATCGAATATCCTAAGAACTGGTGCTGAGCTCACTGCTCTTTTCAAAGTCTCAAAGGCGTCTTGTTGAGATTTTCCCCAGTGGAATTCCTTATTGGAGCCTAACAATTGTGTGAGGGGAAGAGCAATATCAGCGTAATGAGAAATGTACTGATGGTAAAAATTAGTCAAACCAAGGAATTGCATCACATGTCGTTGGGTTGTTGGTACTGGCCATTCCCTTATTGCCTTGACAAGTCCGCCATTCGTCTTGAGTCCATCCTTGGAGATGACATGGCCTAGGAACTCAGTCTCTTCCTGCATGAAGGAACACTTGGATAATTTACAATAAAGCCCAGCTTGACGCAAGAGGGAGAGTACTTGTCGGATGTGCTCTAAGTGATCTTTCTCGTTATCGGAGTAAATTAAAATATCATCGAGATACACAACAACACATTTATCAAGAAGTGGATCAAGTACGTTACGCATCATAGTCGAGAACGCTGCAGGTGCATTTGTAAGACCGAAAGGTACGACGTTAAACTCGTAGTGGCCATAGCGAGTTCGGAACGCGGTCTTGTGTTTATCATCAGGATGGACACGCATTTGATGATAGCCCGAGAGTAGATCCAGCTTGGTAAAACATTTAGCTGTTCTGAATCTGTCGATCAATTCATCGATCCGTGGTAAGGGGTACCTGTTTTTCTTTGTGATCTTGTTCAGGCCCCGATAATCAACACACATTCGAAGCGAGCCATCCTTTTTCTTCACAAAGAGGACTGGAGCACCGTATGGTGAGGTGCTCGGTGAGATTAATCCTTTTTGTAAAAGATCAGTTAGCTGCTTCTTCAGTTCATCAAGCTCAGCGATCGACAATCTGATGACAGGTCGGACAGGTGGGTCAGCATAAGGGTCAGTCTCTATACGCATGCTATCACCTCTGTCAGGGGGAAGGCCATCGGGAAGTGTTGTAGGAAAGACATCAGGGAATTCGACTTGAACGATTTGCTTGATAGAGTCCGGTAGTTCAGAACTACTGCTAGAGACAGGTACTGGAACTCGAACTTGGGCGAGGAATACAGAGGCATCAGGTTCCGAGGCAACGGTAAGGAAGTTAAGAGCAGATATGACGGAAGATCGCTGTCTAGGCTTCCTGTCGATGCCAGTGCAAGGCCACAAGACCGGGGTACCTTGGTATTCAAAATGCAGATCATTTGTTCGCCAATTGATGCGAGGGTTGATATCCGTCAGCCATGGTTTACCCAAAATTAGGTCGTATTTGGATAGAGGATAAACAATGGCGTTGATTTTATCCTGATACGCGTTGCGGGCGAGGGTGAACGTGGCTGTGTGCTGAGCAATTGTCTCGGTACCGTTGGGAAGAATGACAGGAATGGGTCTACCCTCAATTAGCGGAACATGTGTGTTCTCGCAGAAAGAGGAACTTATGACATTGCCTTCGGCCCCTCCATCTACAAGAATGCGCGCAGGTCGACCATTCACTGCTCCAATGAAAGTAAGAAGTCGGCGAGAGTTTTTATGTTTGTCATAGGTAAGGCTGAAGGATTGAAGGCGAATTTCGTTACGACAATGGGAGTGGCGATTGGATGAACTAGGGGTAGATGAATGAGTGGAAGTGAGTGAAGTGGAAACAGTGAAAGGATCAGTGGAGGGGAAAATAGGGTCGGAGAGGGGATTGTTTTTTAGCAATGAGGAATGAGTAGGGGAATGGGGATCAGGATGAGGTGAATACTTAGAGAGTAGATGTAAGGAAGTAGATGCAGTGGGAGCAATAGAGTGATCAGAAAGGGGCATGGATGTTATATTTGTGCACAAAGGATTTTTATTTGTAGTCATCAACTGTAACTGACCATGCCCTCTATTATCCAGGGCTTGAAGGCTGGGGCTAGAGGGGGCGAGGCAGGCCTGGTTTACTGCTCGCCCTCCTCTTTTCCCGACTCAGAAAGCGTATGGTCATTGTTTTCTATATTAAAGACAGAGGTGCGTTGGCATTGTTCGGCTCTATGACCTCGGTTCCGGCATCTGAAACAACGCCCCTCACGAACGCAACGTTCTCGTTCAGCTGCTGTGAGCTTGGGTAGCGAGCTTGGCTTGGAGTGGTTTCTGTTTGGTCGTTGCTGATGGAGAGAGGTGTACAGGTTGGCAACCAACATTCTCATGTTATCGAGATCCATTGGTGTAGGGCCAGAATTATTCTCATGATGGGGTGATAAGGCGTTCGGGGTAGCGGATACAGGGGTGGCATCGATGGGATGTAGAATACTGTGGACAATGGTCGCCTGCTCAATGGCATCGTCCAACGTCTCTGGCTGTCTAAGTCTTACCTGCTTGCTTGTTTCGGGCTCAAGGCCTAGCATGTATTTTTGCAAAGCAGAGTCTTTGTCGAGATTTGTAGCCAGACGTAGGTGGCTTCTAAACTTGCTCGTATATTCTGCCACACTCATCCTTCCCTGACGAAGTTTATCCAACGCTCGGCGAGCTGCATTCGCAGAATCTGGAGGGGTGAACTGACGGAGGAATGCTTTACGGAAGTCAGCCCAAGGTGTATCGAGATTCAACCCGGAATCTCTCCACCATGCCTTGGCTTCGCCATTGAGACTGAGGACAGCGTATCGAACCCATTTGGATGGCGTGAGTGTGACAATAGTGTAATACTCCTCCAGGCTGTCGACAAAGTTTAAGGCTGCAACAGCGTTAATAGCTCCTTCGTAAGGCGTAGGCTTCTGTGGCTTTAGGACCGTGGCGAGAGTTCTGGCTAGGTCATTCTCAGCGGCTTCGTTGGCTTTAGCAGTAGAGAGGGCCTGATTAAAAGCAGTAGCTATGGCTTCGCGAATGTTCAGAGGAAGATCGATGGACGAAAGGGCGTTATTCAAGTGTTCCATGGCGAGGGGTGAAATTCAATGGTAATTGTAGTTCTCTGGGTGTGGTCGTGGTTTCCTTTGCTACCAATGCAAAAGTCAAGGTAGTGTTCTAGGGGGATCTAAGGGTGCAATAAAGGTATCTTTATTCAGGGGGAACTATGCTACAGAACTAGATAGAAAAGTAGACCTATTTATACTAGTTAATATCCTGTTGCAAGGAATGCTCTAGAAATATGGGCGAAATACTATGTTGCACAAAATTATTATAGTGATTTCGCTTGCAAGTACCATATCAAATCAGTAGCAATAAACACCTCATCTTTACTATACTTGTTCCTCCATCCTTGCCCATGTACCTCTCTTGATCCCTTGCACACCAACTGGTTAGTTACCTAGCCTTCCTCTAGTCTGACTTTATTACAATCACGCTCTGCAAAAAAAAAAAAAAAAAAAAAAAAAACACTTTTTGCAAAAAGAAAAAATACACTCTTCTCTTTCTAAAAAAAAATACACTCTTTCTAAAAAAAAATACACTCTTTCTAAAAAATACACTCTTTCTAAAAAAATACACTCTCTGCAAAAAAAAAAAAAAAAAAAAAAAAAAAAAAAAAACACTCTTTGCCAATTCTTCTTCCATTTTAATCTCAGCTAAATGCCTAAAGGGCAACCAGCAGTGTGCTCTCTTGAGTGGTGTGCGTATGGATACCCAACCGACTCTTCAGAAGACAAGGGTATCCACTTCCATATTAGAAGTTACCATAGAATGTCCTACACATGTTCTGTTAGAGATGTCTCGGTCGAGTATATTCGGAACAATGAAGGGCTATTTGTGTGTGAGTGTTGGCCGAAATGGACGTGTAAACCAGGAGATACTTTGCGCAGTCATGTCAAAAAATGTGCGGCTATTAATGCGTTTGTCGATGTCGTCCTCAAGACTTCGGTGTCTTTAGTAGATGCCCATCTAAAAATCTACTTACCCAAAGAGTCGAAAGAGCCACAGAGGCAGTTCCAAGAGCACTCCAGCCTTCCGCCGACTAGTAAACCAAATAAAAAAAGAAATAGGGAAGAGACAAATGACAACAATTACCGCCTTGGCAACAATTTGTACCTTAACAATAAATCAAGCTTGATCCAACAGCAATACAGTAGGCTCGTAGAGCATGCCAATCCAACAAAGAAAGAATGGATTCCAACGAAAGGGAAAGAGCTAGCGGAAGAGGAAAGTGACAGTCAAGAGTCAGAAGAGAGTGAAGACAACGAGAGTCAGGGGGAGACGGATGTTAGCTATAACAAGGTAGTTCACCTACAGCAGCTACCGCGCCTACAGCACTCAGAAGACGGCAGAAAGACGAAAGAAGAGCCCACATTAATAAGATTACAGCAATTCTTAGAGGAAAGGGATATACATTTGGAAAAACGTTCAGAGGAAAGAGACAAACGTTTGGAAAAATATTTAGAGGAAAAGGAAAAACGTTACGAGGAAAGAGACAAACTTTTGGAAAAATATTTAGAGGAAAAGGAAAAACGTTACGAACGTTTGGAAAAATATTTAGAGGAAAAGGAAAAACGTTACGAGGAAAGAGAAATGCAAAGAGTGATTCAGATAGAAGAGATAGTTAGAGGCGTATCAAACAATTCAGCCGCCTGCGAAGACAAGTTTGAGAAGCTTAACACTCGGGTAGATCATATGCAAAAGCAACTATCAGCACTATTATTGTCAAGGCCACAGCTTCCATCATCACAAAAGCCGCCATCATCGGTGAAACCACCACCATCTCTGGAGTCCTCGCCATCATCATCCAAGAAGCTGTACAACCCTTATCAAAAAAGGAAGATAGACGCAGGCACAAACCAATCGATCTCGACGTTTTTCAAGCGTCATAGACCAGAAAATGATAGGGACAGTAAGCCAGAGAACGATAATCCAGAGAACGACAACCCAGAGAACGACAATCCAGAGAACGGCAATCCAGAGCAAGGTATCCCAGAGAAAGAGAACCCAAAGGATGATAATCCAGAGAAAGATAACCTAAGTTCCAAATAACACTGTGTTCTGTTGCGGTTTTTATGATCTAAGCATAACTCAGTCTCCATGGATAGTATATGGCCATGTTCGTTCCCTTTTTCTAAAATACTAAATAAAATGAAGAGTGTCCAATACCTTTCTAAATGAAATTAGGAGTATAAGATTATACACTGGGGCAAGGTGTAATAATTAAAAGAGACAAAAGATGATTTTATTATAATTATTAAAACAAGCCTTTTTATAGGCTTAAGGCTATATACTGTCACACAAGGAGACAAAGTATAGATAACAGTGCAAAGCTCACTCATGACGAACAAGATCACTACCTTTGTTACCATTCACCTTCATCAGTTAGTAGCTTTACTGGAAAGACTATCATGTTTTCCCGTGCTCCCACAACATGGCGTTATGAGGTGTATGCCTAGGGGGAATTGGCTGCTCTTCTGTAAAACGAGAGTTGCTCTGTAGTGTGCCAGGATCATAATAAGAAAGGAAGATGCACGTATAACATTATGATTCAGGAATCTATCTTCAAATAAAAATGATATAAAAATCTTGGCTTTAGTGAAAATCCATATGAAATGACTGCTCATCGCAGCATCTGGCTCAGGAAGTAGTAAAAACTGATAATTCCCAGTAAACTTGGTCGAAATGGGTTTTCAATCTACTCACAAATGGTTTGACGAAAACAAAGAGGAGCCTGGCTTTTTTATTCTTGAACAAAAATGGAGTGGACTCATTGTTGCGAGCCAATACGGTTTGGCTCCTTCTCGCTGAAAAAAAAAAAAAAAAAAAAAAAATGGTGGCAAAACTGAATGGTTGAAGAACGGACGAGAATACATGCGTAATGGAAATAGTACTTTGCTTGCCCATTAGCGTTTCACTCTCACATTCCTCTTCATTTTAACCACGCCCGTTTGCACTATTTTAATTTTCATTGTCAACATTTTCCACACACAATGACTTTGCAATAAGGCAAACTGTCTGCGCACTCGAAATAGGATCCACTCGAAATAAGGTATGATGCCCGCATGATCACGCACCACGTCCCGCTAACTTCTACTTCCGACTAGTGGTGCGTGTGAGGAGATGGTTTTTTGTTTTCGACTCAACCAACAGTTCTCCACTACCCCTTCAGCACTGTAGTTTTCATTGTGCCTCCACCAGGCTTCATGGCCCTCCGCCACGTTACTGCATCCCCAAAATTAGTGTTTTTGAAAAGCCTTCTTTACAAGGACGTAACACGAAACGGAAAAAAAATGTCTTCCTACCAGAGCTAATAGTCAAATGAAGTGTCACTATCAGTTTCCATTTTAGGCAGAGCATCAAGCAGGACTCCCCTTCGCCAAAAAAATCATGGCGTACGTATCTTCAGTGAGAATAGGAGTTGATAGGCTGAAGTTATTGAATAGAAAGTAAAAAATATTTAAATTGAAATGTGCTCTAAGCCAATGACAATCTTGGAAATATAACAAAACTTGACAATTTTTTGTTTTGCAATCCCCCATAGCGCTCGACTGTATATCTATTACTTCACATGTAATTTGGAGAAATATTTCCCAACAGTGGGTTCATGTTTATCGCTCATAGCTCCATGAGCAAAAACCATGTCAATGCTCTCAACAGTCCCACATTAGTTAATATAAAGTAAGAAATTAACCCCTCTCGACCAAAAAAAAAAAAAAAAAGAATCAAGTTGGACCTCGAAATGAGCAGAGATAGTATACATACATCTATATATCTTATATCGACGATGCCCCAATCTAAAACGACAAGGAAATGCTCAACAATCTGGCATCACCAAGGTGTATCTCTAGTCAAGGAAGAAAAAAGAAAAAAGAAAAAAAAAAAAAAAAAAAAAAAAAAAAAGGTCTTGATCAGAGATTTTTAGACGACTTGTAAAGCTGAGGAAGGTAAAGTTTGATTGGCCCTGATCTAACTTGCAAGCAAGCATTGATGGAAGTCGCTGTCAAATCATGGTGTGTCCAAAGCCGTAGCTTACGCGCATGTGGAAAGTATTGAGAAAAAAAAAAAAAAAAAAAAAAAAAAAAAAACTTTATAATTAATGTCTTGGCGTCTGTGGCTGAAGCTGAGGGCGTTGCACCACTTCTACCACATGAGCGTAGCTCACTGCAACAAATACAGCCAGCTTAGCCCAGCTAGCCAGCCAACCCAGTTTAGCATGGAGCTGTTGCAGAGACCAAACACAAAACACAAAACACAGAATGGGTGAATAGCTCCACTTTATGAAAACTACATCTATGATGGATCCGTCGCAGTTATCACCACTGATATAAACTAACAGACTCATTGTATTTATATTTCCACAATTGGGTCGAATAAATAAAAAATAAAAAAAAAGGGAAATTAATAATAGTAATATTAATAATGCAAACAATTTTAAAAACTATTTATGAATGTTGGACACTCAGTTTATTAAACTTTCTTTTTTTTTTTTTTTTTTTTTTTTTTTTTTCTTTTTGCCATTAAGAGAAAAGGTGGTAAGCATCCATGTCATAATGAATGCAAAGCCATAACAGAGACCCTCACGGCGCTCTGTTCCATGATTTATCCTCTTCCTTGCCTTTTGGATTTATGGTTGATTGACGTTGAAAAATATTTAGACAGTAGTTATCAGAAGCTAAGATAAGTGAGAATAAGATGTGGGTCCACACACCACATCCATGGGGTATTTATTCATTTTCTGGTAGAGAGACTCGTACCAAGTAACTACATATCTATCTAGAAGCGACATGGGATTATTCAGGAACCATGTCGGTGTTTTGTCGCGTCTCTAGTGACGCGTTATTATTATTATACTTTTCTTAGCGTATTAATTTTAGGAATTCCCCTAGTATGTTCCTAGTGTGTTTTTAGTATTTTTCTTAATCTTATAGCTGGGCCGTTATTATCTTGTATATTGAAATATACAACAGACGTGATAGACAGGAAGCTAACCTGATTTGCTACCAACTATATGTGCTGCGGTAGAATATGTTGGCGTCAGTCATGTGGCCTTAACCCTATGATGCTGCATAGAAATGATCCAACTATTAAGATTTATTAGGTTCGTACTTGTGTGCGAAAGCTCCATTTCATTCCAGGATAAAGTCCAAATGAAGTCTCACATGACTCCAGACATACGTCCATCGACTTTTCCGGTCAGTGGATGATAAAGAAGGCGAAGTCGGTTTCTTTCAGTCGTTTTTTTTTTTTTTTTTTTTTTTTTTTTTTTTTATACAGACGATAGCTTGGATGAGATTGTAAAAAACACCAATATCTATGCAATACTTCACCAAGTCGGAGAAGTTGGGCCTCATGAATGGAACCCAATGGTAAGAGCCTCTCTGCTTCACTTCATTGCGCTCCCGATGTACAGAGGTGCTTACCCCTCGACAAGAATTGAAGACTCTTTCCTTCGCGATAACAATATGCCTCCTATCCAGCCGATAGCCGGATATATGATTCTCCATGAAGTGTAACCGATAAAACACTACTTGCGCATTTCAAATGCTCAAGATGTCTCGTCTAGCAGTGTTCAGACTAACTATTGTGACAAAGTCCAGCCTCTCCTTCATCAGGCCGACTTCGGAGCCTTTTGGTCTGTTACGTACCGAGGCTTGGGAGTGCACTTCAAGGGCACTTCCGTTTTTATTCATAAGATAGCAAGCGCTTGGCCCTCCCTTCCCCCGCCTAGTCTGGAAAAAGACCACCTTGCCTTGCCCAAAGCCTAGGGCCTCGACAAGCTTCGTATTTTGGCAAGGAGTTTTGCTAATTGACTAACAAACCTGGACAACCAACTGTTTAATGAACTGAATGATTCCATTAAAAATCCTCGGATAGACTTTTCACTCTCTTCGACTTTGAAGGAGCCTGAGAGGAGGAGAGGAGGAGAGGAGGAGGAGGAGGACACACGCACGCGAACATCTCCTGAACCTTATTTTTTATTCCTCATGGGTGTTTCATTGCCATCAAGTCGTGCGTCTCACCTGCAGGGCATTCCAGGCCTGTAGCCTTCTCCATTTACAGTGCCACTGATAATGTGTGCAATAATATTTCAAAAAAACCGTTGGCGAAAGGACAGGATGGTTGAAAACACTGGTACTCAGGCGAAGCTTTTGTTGTAAGGACAAAAGCTGCATTTATACCCTGGACAATTGCATGAGGCGCACAGACGTGGAGTGGAGGAGGTGTTGGGCGGAATAGTTTTTTAATTAAGGACTTTTTACACCACTGTGCCGATCGCAGATATATATATTAATCAGGCTCAAAGGAAGTGACTTGAAAGAAAGCAAAAATGTGATGATGACGATATTACAGTTTATTGATGAGTGCCACCATTGATCACACGGCTTCGTGCCATACTTCCGCTACATCGGAACCTGGCCTTCGTACGCATTTGCGATCTTGTAGTAGAATAGAAAAAAAAAAAAAAAAAAAAAAAAATTAAAAGTAGTGTCACCTAATGGACCTGCTCCAGAATGATGTACGTAGTATGGTTGAGATGTAACGTGGAAAGACTTTCTTTCTAGATGAAGGGAGCACTTCCTGTCTAGATCGTCGATTATAATAGGTGACTTCCCATCATCATTGAGGATTGGACGTGTCAATCTACATCAATTATACTCTTTTACTTTTTTTTTTATTTTTTATTTTTTACTATTGTTTTTATTATTATTATTATTATTATTATTTAATCAAAGCGACAGTTGTCCAGCTTTAATGATGGCTGCCCGCAGCTCATCAAGTCCATCTTTTGTCCTACTACTCACGCCCAAGACTAAAGGATAGCAGCAGATAGCATCCTTAACCAATTGAGCCTCAACCTCTGATTTAGCTATTGAATATTTTGTCTTTGATAATTTATCAGTCTTGGTCAACACAACCTGGTATGAGAGTCCTGATTCATCTAACAACTTCATAATCTGGCTGTCGCTGTCCTTGATTCCGTGGGATGGATCAATTAGGATGTAAATCCTTCTCAAACTTTAAAAAATTATACATGAATTGGGGCGCTGTAGTTAGTAAAAATAAAATAAAAAAAAAATAAAAAAAAAAAAAAAAAAAAAAAAAAGATCAAGCGTTGAGGCACGCCGCAAGACATATTTCCATACTTTTTACGATGTTGAAGATAATCCAGAATCATGCCTCCCCATTCATCTCGACTTTTCCAGCCATATCCTGGCATATCCACCAAAGATAGTCTGTCTCCAATCTTGAAAAAGTTCATCATCTGTGTATGGCCCTATTAACATTTGGAGGATTTGCAAGTGTTACGAGCTGTCTGACACGTAAACGAAAAAAAAAAAAAAAAAAAAAAAAAAAAAAAAAAAAAAACGGATTCCAATAAGTTACATAAAAATGTATCTGTAAGCAAGTCCAGCCATTTGTTTGCTTACAGGTTTACTTGAGGTTTTGACTAGTGCATTCCTGTTCACAAGACCATTGATTAAACTGGACTTTCCAATGTTACTTCTCCCAATGAATGCAACCTATTGATTATCAATGAATGAAAGCAAAGAAACTGCGTGAATTTTTTTTTTTTTTTTTTTTTTTTTTTTCATACAACACACGGCTTGCAAGCTTTTGTTTTAGTGTCCATTGTATGTACCTCGGGTATTGAAGTGTTCTCGGGTATCGTAGACAGATTGGTAGCACTTTTGACAAACACTGCAGGTAAAAGAAAGAACTTGTGTGCTTTGGATAATTCACTAGTCGTCGCTTTTGGAACAAACGGAAAAGCCTGTAGGATTTTAGAGAACTTTTCTGGCTCTTCCTTGCTTTTCTTTGTTGAAGTTTTTTTTATAGTGTCCTCTTGATGATAATGCGAATTCGTGGAATTGTTGGTAGTTGCTTGGGTATCATGGACTTTCCTCTGAGATTTGGAAATTACAGTAGCAGGCATGGACACATTCCTTGTGCGTGTTTCCCTTAAGGCTTTTATTAGTTCTGAACTCTGTGATTCAATATGATCATTATTGACTGTTGAGATGACAGGTCTTTTTCGAGTAACAGCCCTTGTTCTGATGTTCCGGATAGATATCATGTTTAGCCTCGTAGAGATCCCGTGCATTGAGCAGTAATATGTGTTCGGCAGTATCCATGTCTGCAAAGTCCTATATACTGTTGGTGCTACGGACGCCATTTCTTCGTTGATGCGGATTACTTTTTTTTTTTTTTTTTTTTTTTTTTTTCCTTTATGAATGAAGAGTTTTTCCTTCGTCACAGGTGCAACTTTCTTTTTCTTTTTAGGGTCTGATCATCAAAGCCACTGGAAAATGTCAACATCTCTTTCGGGAAACCCTGCATTCAACCATTACATTAACTCCTTTACTCATACCACTCACCCTCGCTTTTTGATCTTTCAATTGTGTAAATATATTCCTTAAAAACACTTTCACCATGAACCCTGAGACAAAGGAAATCATCCTCAAGGCCACTGATGTCGTCAAGACCGTTGTCCACTTTGGTTTTATTCCATTCGTGATCTACCTCGGTATGTTTTTGCTGTAATCGACTGTCATAACAGCTCGGCTTTCTCTACAATAGTTGAAATAAAGAAGGAACCATTGTGCTAATCTATCACTACTACTTTTTTTTTTTTTTTTTTTTTTTTTTTTTTTCCTTTATATTGCTTTATATTCATGCGACTATATAGGATTCACACGGTAAACTATGCGACTTGCTAAAAACCTTTTTGTATCATCACCACACACATACACAAAAAAAAAAAAAAAAACGAGTTTTAAGGGCTGAAGAAACTTATTCTTCTGCCATGTCAGATCTCTCCCTCCCCAATACTGAAGCGAAAATATTTATTTTTGTTCACTAGAACAGCGACTAACAATAGTTTCCTTTTTTTTTTTTTTTTCACAACTGTTTATCTTAATGGTGTTTAACAGAAGCGACCCAAAGCCTTCTTTGATCCGTCTTATCCTTCCTTTGGCCTAAAAAAAAATACAATATCATTCGACAAGGGAAAAAAAAAGGATGTGAAGGATAGGATCGAAGTTGTGGTGAAAAAACCAGGAAGGGGCCATAATCAGCAGCATTATTTTTATAGTCAGTAAGCTGGAAGCAGTTGAAGGCTTATTTTTTTTTACGTTATTATGCACCGATGACGCAGTTCAACTTTTTAGTTTGTCTGGTATCGAAAACCTATTCTTCCTCTGTCAGATCTACAGGAAGCACTTGTAACTGTTAATAATAGTAATAAAAAAAATAAAAAAAAAAAAATTAAATAGTAGCCGATAAATAAGCTCGGTGGCATTCCAATCCTCATGGCCAGGATCCACAACAAGCTATAATGCTATACGCTCTGACTTGAAACACTTCTTGGAGTACACCTAGGGCGCAGCATTTAATCAATTTTGCAATTTTGTCTTTTTTTTTTTTTTTTTATTTTATTTTATTTTATTTTTCCAAGATTAGTTTAATTAATGTTACAAGGATATGGATGAAAGTTATAATGATAGCTATGGTTGCATGATGACAATGATGGATAGATGAAGAGAAAACTGCAGAAATAAATAAAATAAAATAAAATAAAATAAATTAGAAAACAAAATCGAGACCCTTATACCACTGGTCCTATTGATTCGCTTGACTCTTCACGATGTCTGAAGAATCGACCAATGGTACTCAATCCTGGCGTCGATGTCCCAGATCCAGCAGCCGAAGACACTGCTGAACCACCTCGCAGCATCGAGATGGAACTACCACCTGTCATGGAGCTCGGATTATTAGAACCGTGATGATGCATTGCTTGACTCTGTTGTAGCAAAAGTTGACTCGCATGCATAGATGCTTTCCGTTTACGATCCTCTTCGATCTCCTCTAATCGTGACATTGCAAAGTCAAGCCGTCGCTTTGCCTCCGCTGCTTCGCCTTGTCGTCTCAATTGTACTAATCGCGCACTCTGTAATATTGTCCTTAATGCCCGCGTTTGGAGGCCAAATTCGTGAGTCAACACAGCAATTTCACAAATAGCGGGCGCATTATTAGCGTTGAGTTGTTGATAAAGTGCCTGGCGTACAAGTTGCTGCAGTCGTGTAAGGTCGTAGAAATGAGCAATAAGCAAAAGTCCTTGAAGTGTCTTGAGCTTCAGTTGATGAGGTGTTGACAGCTCGTTTGTATAAAGATATTGGAGGAATCCGACCAACAGAGGGGTTGATTCACGAACGAGGATCTCTGCAGGTCGGTCGTCAAGGTACCACTGTTTCGAGGTCAAGTTGTCTTGATCACCTGGAGGATCTGCTGCTTCTGAAGCTTTCTTCGCAAGTCTTTCGTTGACTTCCATCTTCCAGATCCTTTCTCTTTCCTCCATCAACGCTTGAAAATATCCCCAGCGTTGACCTACAATCCCAGAGTTGACTCGTACACGGCCTCCATCCGCAGAACTTACAAGGACAACATCAGCTCCAACTCCGTCCCTTAGCATCTCCAGCCCCATTTTCACTCCACTAGGCCCGATGGATGATTCATCCACATCTGGACAGATCTCCAACCCTTCCAGATCAACCTTAATCAAGTGTGAATAAGATGCAACGGTTGCAGACGATGAAAAATCTGTTTCAGGGTCGGTATCATCTACTCTTGGTGCTTTAATGTAAGACTCTTCCTCATTAGAGTCCGATGTCCTACGTCCGAAAATGTATAGGTAGTTATTCTGACGATCCAGAACAGAATGACTCCATTCCCCAGTACGTAGATTCTTTGACAGCTCTAACTGAGTCCATTGATGATTGTGGAAATGATGCATCCAGACTGAGAATGTGTGTCGTCGAGAGGAGGAGGGCAATGAGGTTGAAGACCCTGTAAAATGTCGACCAGAAACATTGCTTGTGGGGGCGCTACTAGATGCCTGCTCTTGTGATTTCGTATGTCCATCCTCCTCAATCGACGCACCAGAAAGCAAAAAGTAATGATCCACAATCTGAGCCACAGGGAAAAGCATCTTGGGGGGGACAAGGCCGTCAGGTCCCCCCAACATTCCTGACCCTAAATCTAAAGCTGTCCATTCAGGCCGAATATCAAAAACTACCTTGCTAGAAAAGGGCCGGTAAGGCCCTTTCGCTGTTTGCACTTTGAAAAATTCTCGTTTGGGTTTGTTTTCTGTTGTCGTGTAATTCGAATAGTAGTAGAGAGGTTGCGAATAAGGAACTGCTATTGAGCGGGATACAGTTGTCAGGTCCGAGTTTCTGTCTTCAGCCGAATTGCCCGACAGGCTGACAGAGTCTAGAACACTGTCTAGCGATCGTCGCTTGTCGCTCTTGTCATCATCCACATCCCTCCAAACCCTTCGACCAGACTTGCTGTCATCTATAAAGCCTGAACTTCTACGGCTTGATGTTGAGCTAGCACTATTGCTATTACTTCTCCTAATGTTTGGTGTCCTCTCCCGACTTGGTGACACACTCGTAAAGCTATCCTTGCCCCTAGGTGAAGGTGGTACTTTCTGGTCCCGTGCAATCGTTGTCGCCAAGTTGTCCAAGTCAAAGAGGCTGCTACTTGACTTTGAAAAAAACTTTTTCGGGACCGCATGGGTGATAGATCCTTGAGAAGTATTTGCTCGCGTATACTTATTAGAGGAAAGAGTATGGGATGAAGAGGCTATAGAGTGAACGATTGAATTAGATCGCGCCCGTGAATCTCTAGACCCAGAGCTGATGGAGGAGCTATTAGAGGAAGTTGTTGTCTGTAGTGTAGTGAGCATAGTCTTGGATTTAGAGGCATCAGAATTGTAGGGTACTCTGTATAGAGCGTCTTCTACACTGAGCATGGTAGATGAGCCTGTCATTTGCTCCGTGGAAGCGCTGGGTGACTTTGAGACCCGCCTCCAAACGCCGTCGTCCTGTGTTATTGTAGATAACAAGTCGGCGTCGCTTTTTAACCGTTGGCGTTGGTCCGGTGACATCGTGTTTAGCTCGAATGGATGACCTTCTCCGCGGTGCCATGAATTCTTCCGTGGGTTCAACAATGGATTCAACATAGCTGATGGTGAGACAGGAGTGGTGGATAGTTGTCCATAGGGTGATGGTCCAGATGCCGAGAGACTCTGATGAGTAAGAGAGCTTGATGATGACACAGTCGATGATGGACGGGACTGCAGAGACATGCTCTCGGCTGCAAGACACTCTAGATAACGCCGTCTTCTTCGTGTCATCGGTCGCTCTTCGACACTGGCCAAAGCCGAACGGCCATATGAGGGTTGTCCTTGAAATTCGCCGCCCGCCATCCAGATATGGGTCTTGAGGTCTAGAACACAAATATCCTGTAACTGTTCGTTATTGGATCCACGTCCACCTACAATAACCATACGATCGCCTGTCAGCGAAGCGACGTGTGCGAAGCGAGCTGCTGGTGTATAGTGACGATATGGGTCATGTTGTCTAGATCGATTAGTTGGAGATTGGTCCTCCTAAAATATCAAACAAGAGGGGGAAAGAGGGGAAAGAGGGGAAAGAGGGAAAAGAGGGAAAAGGGCGTTAGCGTAAAATCGTAAAAGCACAGATGACAATGCAATACTGAAATCTGTCCAGTCCCGGAGCTGAGGCACTGCTGTCACGTCTTGCTGCAAGTGGAGCCCACGCTTGTGTCACAGCAGACATTCCTTTTGACCTGTCATCATGCATGGTTATGAAATAACTACACCAAAAAAAAAAAAATCGGAAAGGTGCTCACCTGTGACCGAAGATGGATGAACGATTCTGAGAATACATCATCAGAGACAAAACTGAGTTGATCCATTGATCCTCGCCTCGAATTCTCACGACTCTGTTTTTGACGTTGACTTTCCTCTGTATCAGTGGAGATGGCTAAATTTGTAGAGGAAGGGCTATTGAAGCCTGAACTGAGACTCGATGGGATCCATTGCAGTGTGTTGAGATCTAGGATATGTGTATCATTAAGGCACGTCTCCGAGTCGTTAATGGCGTTATCTTTGGTCTCGTCACTATTTTTACTGAGACAGCGACCGCCAAAAATAATCATATGAGCTGTATCCTCTCCACCCCATCCTATGAGCGATCCATTAATGTCGAGGAGTGGTGGTGCCACCACTAGGACGGCTGAATGGCAATATCGTGGCGAAGGTATAGATGAGGACGAATCTATAACAGAAAAATAAATAATAACAGCAATAAAAAAAGTGAGCATCTTCCGTATTGCACCACTTTTGGCTAGCGATTCTATAAGGAAGTGAATTACCTATAGTATTTAGCTCAGGCGATGGATCTTCCGATAGTTGAACGTGTGGTGTTTGCATTCGATCTTCGGATGGAGGTGATTGTTGCTGATCATCACCTTCAGAATCATCTGACCGATCAATCATCCGCTGTCTATGTAGGGACTGCTGTCGCTGCTGATCCATGAGGGTCCATACCAGCGTGTCCAGGTTAAGGACATAGAGATCATTGGTGGGATCCTTGCCGATTGGCCGGCCACCAAAGAGGTACATGTGTCCATTATATATAACTGATGCTGATCCGATTAAAGAGGGAGGGACCTGACCCGTGGTCTGGACAAGAATGGATGTGCGATCCGATAATGTGTAGGTCTCTTTCTCTGGAGCAGCAACGGAGAGACCAGTAGCACTGCTCCTGTTGCTACTAATACTATTAGGCGGGACAGAATGATGGATGTGAACCTGACCAGGCGTTGTGGGTACAGAAGAGCTACGAGCTGCGGCACTCAGAGGATTCCTTGGGGTATCGTATGCAGTGCTGTTGAAAGCTGTAAAGGTTGGGGTTGATGGCATGGTCAGCGTTGGAAAGCTCATATGGCCATGGCTTTGGTTCCGACGATGGTTGATGGTAAATGTAACAGTGGTGTTGATAAGCCGCTTTGGTGAGGCAGGGGAAGATATAGAATCATGGCAAGGCGCGTCTGACCCAGTGGTGATATTAGTTTGATTTGAGACAGGTGGTGTTGATACTACTGAGGTTGACTCATGATCACCCCTAGCTTCATGCACTGAATCCACTGCGTTGGATGGGGTTGGTGCAGCCATATAAGCAGTATCTAACGAGAGGGTCCTATCAATCCTCAATAATTATGAGAGAGGTTTTTTAATACGATGTGTCTGAATGTATGAGAGGTGTGCACAAGTGTGTAAAGGTAAAAGGTCTGTAAAAGTGTGAAGGTACAAAAGTGTGATGTGAAGGGAGGCAAGGGGGTATGAGGGAACAAAGGGGTAATGGTGTAAAAAAAAAAAAAAAAAAAATGAATGTGTAGCCTTTTGTAAGATTGGGTAAATTGAGGAGACAAAAAAAAAAAAAAAAGTCGAGTCAAAGGTTGAATTAGATTACGATGATGAATGACAGGAGGATGGCGATTGACGTTTTTGCCGGAAAAACAAAAAAAAGGGGGAGGAAAAGAAAGGATTAGACAATCAAGACGTTGACAACACAAATGTACAAAAGAGGAATGATCATTACAATCATTACAGACTATTCCTCATGGGAACGTCTTTCTCTTTTTTTTTTTTTTTTTTTTTTTTTAGAAAGGAACACTGTTTGGCTATGCAGTGTAGTTTAGTAAGAGTGAAATAGAACGCGTGTGGCCGATTTACTACCAACTAGTCAATACGACACCATTCATTCACCCTCACTTCCAATTATATAAATGTTTATATAATAGAATACAATATTCTGCGGAGTAGTAACTGAGGCGTTTTATGAGCAAAGCACCGAAGGAAGAAAAGGAAAAGAGGAAAAGAGGAAAAGAAGAAAGAGGAAAGAAAAACGAGGGAAAAGGGAAGGAAAAAGGGTAAAAAGGCAAAAAGCGAAAAAAACATGGAAAAGAAAAGAAAAGAAAAGAGGCCCTTATATGTTTTTGCTTTGTTTGCTGCCATGCCCATGCCCATGCGATACAATTGCGATGCTAAAATTGTCCCTGTTATAGACATTCTGCATGCTACTGCATTTCATGTAATACCATCAAAACAGTCTTGAGCCTCCCTTGTTCCACAGAAATGCCCTGATTGCCCAACCAGTTGCGAATCGACACGGTCTCATGCACTGCCCATCTCAGTGGCGATCCTACAGTCGAAAGCAAACAGCGGCGCTTCTTTTTTTACTTCTCCAAAAGTGAAAAGAAGAACAGGATTCTCTTGTCTCCGCTGTCTCGCCCTCCCTCCATCAAGCATTTGCCAATCCCAGATCTACACAATATTGTTCTTATTTCTCTTACAAAAGCATTTTACACATAAACCGTAGGAACATGTCGCATTTCATGTCATCTTACATGGACAATTGGAGGTTTGGTGCATCCAAAAATGTTTACGATAGACAAAGTAAAAACCACATTCCAGATGGATGGATGTTTCTCGATTTAAAATAAAAAAACCTAAATATTTTTAAGTCTGTACACATGTAAAAAAAAAAAAAAAAAAGCTCTCATTCTCTTACTGTCTCCCTTTACCCTCGCCTTGCGTGGAAATCCTATTGTTGAGGGCCCAATTGCTCTTTTCTCAGTTTCTCAGTGCTCCTCAAGTTTGTCCCTGCCTATTCATGTTTAAGGAAAAAAGAATAGAAGAATGATGCTCTCGAGAAAAAAAAAATCTATTTGTTTGATTTATTTATTTTTGTGTGGCCAAGGGAACCCAATGTTTGGGATAAGAGTCGTTTACTTGGAAGATAGAGGGGGCTTCATCTTTGTCGTTCCCTTTCTACGAGCACATGTACTCCGCAAATGCAACATCAGTAATTTTTGTTTCTTGTGTCAATCCGAGGGCTTCAGATAATTTTGTGGCGAGAACATGCTGGCACTAAAAAAAACAAAAAACAAAAAAACAAAAAACTATACATGAACAATGATTGATCAGCCCCAAAGCATATTCAAAACAGCATTCCAGTACTTATCAATGATGCAGTTATTCCAATTAACCACAAGATCATTTATATATACCGTGATGGCATCGCTCATAACAACTAACCACGATAAGCATAAAAAGGGCACCGGTTAAAATCATAATAAATTGTTTCATCACCAAGAATGACCATGTGAATACCAGGAAAAAATATAAAATAGAGCTATTTTATGTACAAATACCACATCTTACCCTGGATAAATTGATCACAAGTACAATAACGTTGGGTTGGTCTGCAGGTCCTTATTACTCCCGATCCAAGATCCTTGACCTGCTTATCCATGAAGAAACATGAAAGATATCAACTACACATATATTTTAAATATATATTTAAATAAATAAATAAAAACAGAATGCCTCTTGCCTTATAGAATGTTCTACGAGATTCACTTGCAACAACTTTCTCAACTAATGTTTGACACCATGATAGAGGACCAACAAAGAAAATAGCGACAGATCAAAAAAAAAAAAAAAAAAAAAAAAAAAAATGTGCGTATAATCAGCAGCAGCATTCTATAGCTCCTCAACGTTCAAGAACGACCAATTAAATAAATGATATTGAAATGAACCAGAATTTGGGATATCCAGCAGACGTAATGCACCCATCACTGACGAATTGGTGAGATCTCCTTGCGAACCATACAAATGCATCAAGGCAATCAAATGATCATTTGTCACTGTTTTATTTCAAAATAACCAATTAGTTTGGATCATCCAAGAAAAAAAAACACCTTGTTGCCTGTGTTAGAAAGCAACATCATCAACTTGCATTCCTTCTCATCAGCAATGGACTGGATAAGAGTATTTAACGTTTCCACTGCTAGTGGCTCCATGAACTAACGCGTTTTGATCGATCAATGCTCCTCAATCAGTCAATAACTTATTTTTTTATGTTTGGTGGCAACACGCACGTGATACGTCCGAATATGGTGGGAGGAAACTGCTCTCTCTCAAAGCAACAAAGGTCAAAGAAGTGGGCCAATGTAGGCGTCTTTTGAGGCCGCCGCCATGCCAAGGATGATAGAATCTCATCAAGAATGGGATGACAAGGTTGATATTTCAAGACAGATATTATTACTCAAGGGTTCGCAGAGATATTAAATCACGTTTACAGATCAACTGAAATGTTAATAGGAGATTTATTGAAATTCTCAAGAAGATGCTTAACGGGAAGTGTTTGCAATAGCGACCTTGGCACCCTTGGCGCCTTGCTTGGAGAGCTTAGGCTGGCCACGAGCAGCGCTGGAGGCGTTCTATTGTATAAAGAGTGTTTAACAAAATTGAGTTAGTTTTTTTTTTTTTTTTTTTTTTTTACTTGAAAAAACACTATGCCGCCTTCACATCTGGTACTCACCTTGGCTTTCTCAGCCTTCTTCTTGGCATCCTCAGCCTTCTTCTTCTCCTTGCCCTCACGGACAGAGGCGGCACGGGCGGCAGCACGGACCTCAGGCTTCTGGTTGCGCTTAGCACGAATAGCCTCCCAGGAGGCACCGACAACAGCACGCTGGTGCTTGACAGTGCGGCGGGTGCGCTTCTTGGCAACCTCCTCAGAAATACCCTTCTTGTGCATGCGGCGGAAGAGGACAGTCCAGGAAATCTTGCGAGGGTTCTTGCGCTGCAAGAAAAGGGACTCTGCCTTTCCGTTAACAAACCGGAATGACTATTAAAATAAATAGACAAAAAAAAGGACATCAGTCAATCGATTTTCTGTTACTCCAAACATTTTCTCCCTTTTTGTCGTCGTCAGTCGTTGTGCTTCACAGTATATGCCAACTTTTTTAAATAATATCCATAATGTCGTTCAGTTTCGAGCAAATCCTTTCTAAAGCTGGATGATGAATGATGCACAGACAATGATCCTAACGCAATCCTGAGTTACAAATGGCCAAAAAAATAAATAAAAAAGGACTGACTTCTTTATCGCTTTTTTTTTTTTTTTTTTTTTTTTTGCTTCCTTGCTTCCTCCTTTCCTTGCTTTTTGAGGCGATACAGTATTCTTTCAGTTTTGTCCATTGAGTTTTGAGAAATCTGGTGCTTTTTTTTTTTATATTATCTCTTTGTGATTGATAAAGACAGTCGTTTGTTCAATTATTTTTCCCTCTCTTTCTTGAGGAGCGAAGTTTCTAATAGTGTCCTGAAAGAGAAAGTTGAAGGTTACATACCCTGCTGTCGACACGGACATAGATCTTACCCTTACCAGGGTAGATCTTGGCTCCAGAGAAGGCACAAATCTCGATCCTGATTTAATAGTGATGAATGAAAAAAAGAAAAAATAAGACAAATTCGTCAGCATGGATTTGTAACAATAGTTTGACAGTGGTGTGAATGAGTTGTTCCCATCGCTCTTAATTGATTCTGTCACTTTTTTGCTGCTGTTGTTTTTGCCGTTATGATAATCTTTGATTGTAGCTGAAGAAAAAAGTGATTGTTCCATAATTGCTCCTGCTGCAGCTTCAGGTTTAAATATTGGCTTCGTTTCCTTTGTGAATACAACCCTTTTTTGATAGTAAATGGTTTGATTTGTTGGAGATTTCCTCTTCCAAGATTCAGTCTGCAACTGGTCATCCTTCAAAGTATGTTAACGCCATGTTGCCGTCGCTTGAGTTTTGTAACTTTTTTGTTTGTTTGTTTGTTTGTTTTCTTAATCATGTCTTCACTTCCATGTATGTCTGAACAGTTGCTGGGCCAAAGTATAATTGATTTCGGTTAAATTCCACGATGGAGTTGTTGAAGTATATTTTCTGCAATGAAGCCCCATCACTATAGCTGGACAAGAAAAATAATGTGATGATGGTTGTCACGGATGTAGGTAAAGCTGATAGCGATAACAGTAATAGATGGATTGATGTCTGAATATCCGCCTGTGCATATCTGGTGTATAAATATCCATCCCGTGTCACTTGTATTTCTCCATTCTTTTTTTTTTAATTTTTATGCCCAGTCCATTTACTTCATTTTGAAACTGAGAATAAATCGAAAAAGGAAGATCCATTCAAGGACGAGCCTGTGCCATGACTAAAAGTTAAAAATTATTTTAGTGACTGGCATGTCCAAAAAAAAAAAAAAAAAAAAAAAAAAAAACCCCTCCATTTTTGTTTGGTGCCACAGACGCGCGTCAGTGTATTTTATTTCAAGCAATGGTAACTCCTATCCCTATCCTCACCAAAATGATTTTTGTCATTTGACCCCAACTCTGGGAACAACAATGTTGGGCGAGTACAATTCCAGAAATAACTTCTAATCTACTCAACGTAGATGTTTTCTTATTTACTCATGAAGGAAAGCATGAAAATATATAGTGGACAGCTATTGGCTTCAGCCATATTGATCCATACTTTCAAACCAGTCGATGCCTCGTACTTTCCGCTGCGAGGTAGGTATCCCTCAGTGCTCATGTGCGAGCTCAGAATACAAAAAGCACATTCATTAGTTCAATGGTATACTTTTAAATGATCCATCACAAAGTCCCGTCGATCATTAGGAGCCGTAGGCTCCAAGACGAAGAGACCAAAGGCGCGTTTATGAAACAGGGGCTCATCGAAGTCAAGAAGAAAACTCCTTGGTCCTTAACAGCGTTTCAGTTGATCGATTAGTTCAGATATTTCCGGACTGGCTGTCAAAGAGAGATCAAAAGTTGTTTTTATGTTCGTCGCCAGGTGGGAGCTTTTTATTGAAGTCCCGCCATGACCGTCACACAACGGAACACATCCATCTCAAAAAGGATGAATATCAACGATGAAAACAACAACGACAATTTTAACACCCCTTCGGACGGCAACTCCGGTCCATCAACCTTGGAGGACAACCCCCGTTCCACCGACTACTCTGTCCTTATGAATAAAAATGAAAGGCCCCAAAGCAATCGTTATAATCAATTCGTTACGACTTGGATCTATAATGAAATGACCTCGTATTAGTGCGGATCGAGCAACCAACCGCTACCTCCCAGAGCGCTAGGTTTCCACGGTTATATGAAGGGCCCTGCACCATCGTCCCACCGCTATCTAATAGTACCCACCTTATCATAGACACCTCTGGAAACCAAGGGATCGCTACATGGATCGTCTGAAACCTTACGCCGCCCACACGCAAATGATTCCTTCCTGAGTTGTACTCCCAAGCCTCGATACGTAATACCAGTCCCCACCGCAAGGCAAAATGGTAGTTTAAAGTTTCTCCCTTGAAATTCACATGCTCATCTGTACTAAACATGTTCATTATAGATCGTTAGTAGTGGTAAGCTATTCAGACTTCTAGTAAGGAGCCGACCGGGTCCGTGGTACCCTCCAAGCTCTGTTGTTCCTTCGTCTCTGGGTATGAGGATCCTGTTGTCATCGCGACGGGGAGAGAATGGAAAAGGATTATTGGAGGTCGTTTGAATGTGATGGATCGTTCTGTTTATAGTTGCAGATGCTACAAGGGAAAGGATAGAGTTGATTCTTGAGTTGTATATAAGTTCCATATGTTTGGTTAATGGAAGTGAACACGAAAATGATAGTTGAGTATGTATGTATAGATCCTTTCTTCCACTTTATGAAGATTCGTCTTCTTAGGTGAAATATGCATGGAATCATAATAGGTAATAAGAATAAAAGGTTTGTTTATAAATCTCCGTTAACAACATCACAGAAATGACTGGCTAGATGCAACAAGTCGGCTTCATCTTTACATGGACTTCGTCTTGTATCTTTGAAGTTCTTTATGCAGCTAGTGAAGGTCATTTCGAAGTACGGGAAGTACTACAGATAGAACTATCATGTCGATATCAAACATGATCTTGTCTAAAACGATTTTTCAAGCGTTCTCTGATTCACGAGCTGCGTTTTGCTAATAGGGATGTAAATCTTATTTACTCTCTTTAATATCGCTATTATATTGGAAGTGTACCACCAAAGCAAGCGACTCGTTCACTCGGTTTAGTTGATACTATGGTGTTTGCCGATCGGTACAGTGTCAAAAGAAATGGTTCCCAATGATACCAATTGGAGAGGTTTCCTAGTCAGAGCAGTTCCACCGAGCGAAAGCGAAATAGAGACGACAGATCCGACATGCAAGATGGACAGTAGTGTTCCAGACATGCAGCAGCTTATTTTACATAGTAACACTATCAAAACCTTGGGGTCTCAAGCTTAAGAGCTTCTGAAAAATGTTCACGGCATGCAAAGAAGGGTATCACAGGTCAGTGTGAGACTCAAGAAAAACGAAGGCGGTGCTAAAAGCCAAGCGCGCAAGATACTTATCCCGCAAAAGAAGAAGTTGAAGGAAGGAACAATGAAACCTGTCCTATTACTGAAACAAGATTGAGTGTGTTGAAATTTTCAGGCGATGTCAAGTTGATACAGCGATACTACTCGGGCTGAACGTACGATGTAGCGGAAAAGGTTTTTCAGTTCAATATTTCCAATTTTCTTCAAGTCACCGACGGTCAAGGCATCTGTTGTCACGGATCAATTATTCAGACAATAAGTGAAACTATTCCGTATTCCGTAGATACTCAACGAGATAAGAGCTCATATCAAACAGTACCATGTGCTCTCTCTGGTAAACTAGTTTTATATTGACGCCTTCGGTGAATACTTTGAGAACGTATTTGGATCATGGAATGTTAAACTACTCCTATCCACACGCACCTGTCAACAAGTACTAGAACAGGATTCATTTTAACGCCAATGGACCTCATAAAGCTTTTATAACAATAATGCTCCATTAAGTCTACTAGAAGCCGTTTATAAAAAAAGAGAGAGAGAGGAGAGGCAAGATTGGAGTCCATGGGGAGGTTTTTTTTTATTTTTTTATTTTATTTTATTTTTTTGATTATTTTAATATACAGGATAACATTGTATGCTGAGGAGACTACATGAGTTTGCTTCCTGGTCTAGGTTTTTTTATGCAGCAGAATCGTAATGAGGCATATTGATACCCTCGGCGATCAACTTATTCTTTGCAGCGTCAGCTCTAGCACCTCTGAGCTGAATCTCCTCAGTAGTACCGCCTCCAACATTGGGACCATGCCACTCGACCAGCAAGTGATCAACAACAGTCCACACGCCCATGTCAGCCATATGTGGGATCACTTCATATTCAGCACCTTCAATATCCATCTTGACGACCACAAAGTCACGTGGAAGAGTGTTACGGAGCAACCAGCCAGAAATATTGATCCCAGTCAAATCTGTACCTTTGCTCTGTGAGCGAACAGCATCAGGATGGGAAGCGTAGATAGATGAACCCCAGTAATCGTGAGCAGCGTTGACAGTATCGAGGTAGAAAGTACGGATGCCATCCCTAACATCAACAACAGTCGAAGGAAAGATATTGACCTTGATACCAAGGTCATCATAATGTTGCTTCGCCTTTACAAGAGGCTCGTTGAAAACGGGATTGGCCTCAAACAGATAGATTTCTAAAATCAATAAAAAAAAAATAATAATGATAATAATAAATAAAGTGTTAAGCTTGGTTACTCAATGAACAAAATAAGGACACACACATAGTTGACATGCCAATAAAGCACCCCCATGATCAAAACCACTAAAAATAAAAGACTCGTACCAGCATCTTCATAGTTAGCCCATTCTGGACGAGGGAAGTTATAGTTGAACTTTGTATTTGGTCTCTTCAAAAAGACATCGAGCGAATCCGCACGGTTGGCGCCCAAATCAACGAAGATGTAACGAGGTTTGCCTGCACGTCTCTCATTTTGATCGTTTTGACCAGCTTGTACGTTTTGACCAGTTTGGACGACGCCATTCTGGAGATTATTTCGGTGATAGGTGCCCAACAACAACAGGGCTGAGAGCAAGAGAGCTACAGGAAAGATGATACTCCTGTTGGATACTGCCATCGTTTATAGATAAGTTACTCGGGAGAAAATGTGAGAACTTGCTTAGAGAATACAAAAAAAAAAAAAAAAAAAAAAAAAAAGATGGCGAATCCTGTGTGAAGATCGATTCTGTTTTGTCCTTGTGAATGAGAAAGGGTAATTAAAAGGAGGACAAGCAAGATGAAGGAAAGAAAGAAAGAAAAAAAAAAAAAAAAAGATGAGAAGGTCCAAGGGCAAAAAGAAAAGGTTAGACATTAATCAGGAAGTGTAAATAAAATTGCACGGGAAATAGGGTCTAATTGGTTGGGCTATTGGTTCATATCCAATGGGCTCCTCTCTTTTCCTTACCAATCTAAAATTAAAGAACATTGTCCCGTTGGATGTTAGAATGTCAAATGGGGCTAACTAACAAGTAGCACGCCACAGACTGGTCCTTTCGGCTGTCTAGTTAGATCTGTGTACATGTACAGCCCTATGCTTTGTTGTTGTTAGGATAGCCAAGCAGAGAAGGAGAGAGGTAAGAAATTCACATTCATTCAAAAACGTGTTCCAATCCCTCTCTATCCTTCCATCGTAAACCATTTCTCATACCAGTAAAGTTTTTATCAAGTCAGGCACACATGCTGATATTACTCAAACATTTCCCTATTGCGACTTCCAACTTTGCTGTCTTCTAGACCGCTGTGCTGTCCTAGTCTTCAGCATCCCTGTCCATATCTGCAAGGCACTTTCTCTTTTCGCGGAGTGGATTACACTATTTATTAATCATAGCATCTTTATCGCATAAAAGAAATATGTCGCTGAACATCTGGTTCGATAACTTTGATAACCCGCTAGGGAAAAAAAAAAAAAAACCTGTTCGAAAAGCGTTTAATAACCCGGTAACTCAAAACAAATGACCATCGCAAGCATTTAATGGCCCTTCTTGTGGTGCTTAAATGAATTATCCTGTAACAGCTTCAAGAGAGTTTGGCATTAGTTGTACTTAATATGGGACTGGACCCTTGGCTCAATTAATTGCCCAGAAAGACTTATTACTTTTGGAATAGTTAAGTGTAAAAAGAATAGACAACCTTACTAGGATGGTTAGTAAGTAATGGAGACTCAAGTATAAAAAATACCAAATTATGCTAGATATTAATGATGAATGTCGCTTGGCATGTATTGATGGTATTGACCTGGACAAACGTCGAGTACGAAGAAACCTATGCACAGAGATATTGCGCGACGTGCATTCAAGGCTGGTATAAAATCAACCGCTCTTAAAAAACCGCAAGACGTATATTCCTTCTTTCTCTAACAATCCCTCCTCTCCACTTTCACTACTTCTCTCTTTTCTTGATTAATCTCTACATTATACACGACTATCCATCATGAGACTCGGACTCTCCACCGTTACCACTGTTACTATAGCTGTCCTCTCCTTTACCCTGGTTATCCAAGCTGTCGAACTCAAAGAGCCGGCTCTTTTAACAGTGAATCCAGTAAGTAAAATAATAATAATAATAATAATAATAATAATAATAATAATAATAATAATAATAATAATAATAATAATAATAATAATAATAATAATAATAATAATAATAATAATAATAATAATAATAATAATAATAATAATAATAATAATAATAATAATAATAATAATAATAATAATAATAATAATAATAATAATAATAATAATAATAATAATAATAAAACAAAATAAAATAAAATAAAAAGATACTGAGCTAATTCCACATATTAATTTTTGCTGTTTTTTTTGAAGGAAACCTCTTTCTTTATTCCGGCTGATTCTACTCCATCACAAGGCGAAAAGGCTGTGAGCTTGGGTTCCAAATACTGCCTCAACTTGAGTGGACAATTGTTGAAGCCTTTCCCACAGAATTCGGATTTGCATATTTTCTTCTTCAATTCAAGTAAGCCTTTATCTAATGGAGTCAAAAAAAAAAAAAAAAAAAAAAAGAAAAAAAAAAACTAACTTTTTTTTTCTGTATTGATTTTTGAAGCCGAGGTCGTTAAAGAAGTCAAAACACCTCTTTGCTCAACTTTGGTGTCTGCTCCTTCCATTACAGGATGCTCTAAAGCTGAAGTTACTAATGGAACTATCTCGAGTTGCGTAATGATTGATAAGTTTGATGTTGAACCTTCATCTGGCCAGGTAAAGAACTTTTTTAATTTTTTTTTTATTCTTTTCTTTTTATGCAGGATTTTTGATATAAAAGATGATGTGATCTGGTAAAAGAAAATGACGAAAATAGGAATGAAGATAAAAAAAAAAAAAAAAAAAAAAACAATAAACCCCCTAAACGGTGGATGTGCTTAGAGCAGATTTAAAAGAAACTAAAGTAAAAGGAGGTGAATTCAGAAAAGAAACGGGCTTTGCTTGAATTGACAAAACTAGGGAATTGAAACGCGTTCTTTTTAAAGAAAAGAAAATACAAATGCTAAACACATCTGCACTTCTGCTTTATCTTGCATTGCTGATAGGCTGAAGGTAATGTCATTATCAACTTCCTTACCGAAGACCTCGAGTCATTCCTCTTTATCAGCGGAAGCATTACACTTCAAGGTTAAAAAAAAAAAAAAAGTCCCACAACCAGTAGATTGTATTTATTTGGAAACAAGGAAAAATAATAACAGCAATAATAATAAGATCGTATCAGATGCATAGAATGGCATAGTACCGCGTACCAAAATAACAAAAACAATCACGCATGCGCTGATTCTAAGCATTCACAAATAAAGATATATTGATACTAAAGACGCGCCCGTACAAATCCTATGTAGCAAAAGTGGAAGGAAGAAAAGAAGTGATTAAGCAGAAGTCCCGGTCGAGGCATCTAGAAATGGCATGCCTTCCATGCATTGCAAGCAAGACATCCTGGCTAGCATCAATATGTAGTGTCATCTCAGACCTGTTTTTTCAAAGAGGACAATAAAATATTCAACTTCATTTTGCATGGGATTTGTGCAAGCCATATTTTAGTATATATCATAGAAAGAAGATCTTAGTATCACTTTCCATGGGATTTGTGCGGGTAAGTCTTGTGTTAGTATCACTTGCATCTTTGTTTATGATGTCTAGTATCACTTCCAGGTGCTCTCAACAAAAAAAATGAGCGCATATACGGGATTCATCTCTGCAACACCCCCAAAGTACCTGAGTGCTCCATATACGCATATCCACGTTCTCAGGATCCATAGAGACCAGATGCTCTACAGTCGTCCCTCAGTAATTCGCGAATTACTGAGGGAACTGGTCTGTTTTTATTCACTTCAATTCAATTTCCATTATATTGGTGGGCTCCTTTATTCTTTTTTTTTTTCTTTTTTTCATTTTTTTTTAAACAGCCACCCTATGTATATATTTTTCACTATTCTGCATACAAAACACACAAAAAAAAAATAAATAAATAAATATATTTATTATAAAATATGATTATTCTTTACTGCTTGAATCTCCATCAAGACAGGCCCTCAGTCTGCTCAATAAACTTGGGTTTCTTCTGTGTTCGGTCTCTTCATTTCGTATTGCACGTCTATCCATGCAAGCCTCAATGTGGTCATACAATTTATCGAGTTCTTCTCTCTCTTCTTTACCCTGTGGCCTTGTTAGGATATCTTTGGTAAGCTCAAAAAAGTCGCGCGATAGACCGAGGACAACTGTAGGATCCTTTTTTTTGCATGAGCTAGTATCTGGCGAGGAGTACCCATCATGGGGAACCTTCTGGATTGTACGGTTACGCAGGACAGTGCAAACCATTGAAGGCGAATATTCTTGCCTTAGTGCTGGACTAAAGTCTGCATCAAGATCTTCGGCATCTTCAACCTCCTCCTCGTCAATAAAATCGCTATCCTGGTATTGACGAAATATAGTACTGAATTTGGGATTGGCGATCGTCATCATTGCACAATTAGTAATAGATTGTGTAGGACCTTCGGCATGGCACATTGTGAGATAATTGAGGATTGTGAAGTCTTTTTGGTTATTGATGACATCTGTCAATTTTTCGTATTTTTTGATCAAATCATCTTGAAGTTCCTTTAATCTATTGTCAACGGTATCCACCCCGAGAGCCCTAAGTTGCTTATTCACATTGTCAGGCAGCGTTGGAACATGGGCAAAGCAATGGCGAATACAAGCAGGGGTAACAGTATTCCATGCCCTCACCAAGCATTCCCAGAGAGAGGCATAGTTAGCTGTAGCTGTTGATGATTGGAGATTCTCGCGAACTCGAGCTACTGTCTCAAGCATCTCTTGGCTGTAGTGAACCTTGAATGAACGAGTAACACCTGCATCCATAGGTTGAGTGATAGATGTTGTGCCTGGAGGAAGTCGTACTAATGTAATATTACTAAGGCCAGCTTCCTCTCCTCCACAATGTCCTGGTGCACTGTCTATGAGTAGTGCAATTTTGCGTCCCTGCCTTTGCATATCCTCATCCAAGTCCTGAAGCCATCCATCAAACAAAGGTTTGGTCATGTAAGTCAGTTCCTGTGGAGTTGCTGCAAATAAGGATTGACACACGAGCTGCACGAATAATTTTTGTTCCCTGTACAGCGCCTGCTGCTAGGGTTCTTGCTGACAATGCTCTAAGATAAAGGCCAGTCTCGTCGCAGTTATAGATGTCCTCTGGGTGGAATGTAGAGAGCGACTTCTTTATCTCCTCCATCCGAGCCTTACAAGATTCCATATCGACACCTTCACTTTCTCCATGTCCAATCTTTGATGAAATTCCTGATCGTGCCTTGAATCTATGAAGCCATCCTTTCGAAAAGGCAAACGATTCGGGTATCTCAGTCTCCTTATAATAGTCCTTCATGATGCTCCACAGTATAGCTCCTGTTCCTCTTAGTCGAGCCTCTGTTACAATGATCTTGAGTCTCCTTTGTTCTTCAAACCACTTTAGCAGCGCTTCTTCAACGGCCTCCATGGTCCTTGAGCTAGTTCGAGTAATAGCCTTAGCAGCTTCCTCAGACTTTCCATCTTTCATACTCAATAAAGAATCTCTTTTATTCCAAATCCCACTGGCAGTGAAAATGTTGATGCCAAGTCGTCGAGCAATAGAAGAACTGGGGTTTTGGGGTCAATATCCTTGGCTTTTATCACTTCATTGATAAATTTTATTTTGTCATAAAGTGTGATGGAGTTATATGTGTTGCCTTTGGAGCTGCCTTTCGCGACTTGTCCACGCTTATTTCTTATAGGCTTGGCAGATTTCTGGTTTAGTTTTCCTGCCTCAGCTGAATTTGGAGCTGAATTTTCTTTTTCACACGCAGACTTTGATGGTCGAACTGGAGTAGCTTGACTTAATCGCTCAATACGGACCCAGTCCCATTGACTACTGGGTACTTGTGCCACACTCTGCTGGGACTGAGGGGAGGAAGCTGACAAACTCATAGAATGAAGAACACTTGGGCTGAAGGCAGTTGTTACATTCTTTGAAGGTCTTCCTCTTCTCCTTGGTTGACTTGATTGCAAATTGGATAGACTTGAGTCTATAGGAGATAGCTGGCTTGACTGCAGAGGCAGAGGAGACAATTGACTCGAAAGCCCAATAGGGGACGAAGAAGCGGCCATATGTTGAGCTATGGGTATATTGGGAATAGCGGTCGCCATGATAATAGGTGAGTGTGAGAAAAGTCTTTTTTTTTTATTTTTTTATTTTTTTGGGAAATTTCAAAAAAAAGAAAAAAAAAAGAATAAAGGAGCCCACCAATATAATTGAAATTGAATTGAAGTGAATAAAAACAGACCAGTTCCTCAGTAATTCGCGAATTACTGAGGGACGACTGTATACGACAGGTTTTGTGAAGAAGAGGGATGAAGGGTTTGGACACTTTGCAATTGTGGAAGGGGATTTGTATATCGTTTGCCAGACATCTTTCCCGTGACATGCATCTAAAGAATGACAAAAAAATCAGCCACACCGAAGTACATGTACTAGTATGTCAAACTAGTCCTGAAATACTAAAATCTGTACACTCTAATAATAATAGACTTTCTTTATTGTATATACTTGAAGGATTCATCCATTATTTACAACGGCTCTAAATATTTCTAAAGTCCACCTCACCCATGCCTGGAGATGGAGGTGCATAGAAAAAGCCAGCCATGAGTACACAGTAACTCAAGATCAAAATACTGCCCTTGAAATAGTTACTCTTTCCTTCAATATATGTGTATGTCAACAAGAACACAGAGAACAACATCGAGAACACATCCCAACGTTCAAAAATCAAGTTGAACACATAATTCCAAGCGAGACTCTTCCCGTGACTCAACCATGCAGACACTGCCACCATGGCTGGGATTTGAATCAGACACACTTGAAGCGCATAAGCCGATCCAATCTCCATCGAAAGTGCAATATTGCCATACATGGCGAATGAGATGGCGTTCATGAACTCAGTGACGTTTGGTACGAGCGCGAACAGCGTCAATCCCAATAGCTTCTCGTCAATGGACGATACAGCATCCACACTATCCACAAGGATTTCTATATTAGAAGAAAGAGCACATTCATGTTAGCTAAAAAAAAAAAAAAAAAAAAAAAAAAGAAAGCTCGAATCGAAAGATCTAAAAATTACCAGCAATGATTGAATAAAGAACTGTGCATCCAAGGAGAACTGTGGCGCTCTTGGCCTTGGACCAGTTGGGAGAGTCATGACCACCATGGGCACCTTCATCGTCCTCATCGTCGTCCCCATGATCACTCTTGAGACCATCATGGTCTACGTTCAGCGAAGAGAGTAGTCCCTGTGCTGCAGGATGGATAGGTGCATCTTCTCCATTGAGATGTGTTTCGGAAGTTGAATGAGGTGGCCGTCTTTCGCCTAAACCACCATGAAGTGATGTGGAGTGATAATTGGCTGTCGAGTGTGCAGAATCTACTGATGTGAATCGACCCAACTCTGCAGCATCGTCTGCAGCAGCTGCAGCAGAGCGGGGTCTATCAGTATTATTGGCAGGGTGTGGTGCGCCCGCGCCATAGTGAAGGAGTTGTTGCAGGATATGCATAGGTAAAAGTTTTTTGTAGATGGAAGAGTCTCTCACAGAGCGTGGTTGAGGCTCATGCCAGATCTGTTTAACATGTGTTCGAAGTGAGAACCAGATACCAATTAGGTATGCAGAAGGAAGGACAATACAGCAAAAGTACATCAGCGGTTTGACATTCTTTTGGAAAAATGCGTCATTGGTTGGGTTGGGCTGGTAGTGATAGCAACGTTGACAGGTCGCACCATTGGTCAACAGCTCTGTCTCTGGGCATGGTACACAACGCAGGTCAAACTTTTTTTTTAAAAAAGATGAGAAGAAGGAAGTGAATCAGTCGCCAATATCAACAAAATAAACAGCAAGATCTGATGTAATAGGGAATATTTCCAATTGACTTACACGTCCATAGATGTTGTAGAAAAGTGTTGGAGTCAAGACTCCAATGAGTGACATAATCAACATCGTAGCGGTGACACCTGTTTCAAAAACGTTGATATATTTCATTAGCAAAAGTCATCGAATGAAAGCCATGTTATAGTTGTCAACATTGGGATGAAAGATGAATTTGTACCTGCGCTCTTGGCATTAAATTTTTGCTCTTTTTTCTTTACTGCGCCGCTCATCATACTGACACCAGGCATGAGTAAAAGACCTGCAAGGAAGCTTCCGATCAAGGCACCCTCAGTGATCAAGCCCTTGCCTTGTGTCAATGCGACTGAGTAGAGAATGATTTCGATAATGGAGCCAAAAGTTGCATTGATCACAGCGCCCATTCCCAGAGACGACTGTGCCGAGATGGATGAGACAGCCATGCCAATGAAGTACGACAATGGGATCACAGAGGATAAACCCAACGAGAAAATCACGGCTGGCGAAGTGAGGACATTATCATGCCCAAGGACGTGTGTGAGGACATATTCATCCAGGATTGTGAAGAACACGATAGGCATCAAGTTAATAAAGATGATATTGGTGCCATCATATGTGTACTTGTAGTACTGCAGTCCGATGGCGTCATAAGTGCAGAGAAGGATCTCGGAACGCTGAGATGAGAAGGCGAGTGAGCTACCACGCTTAAAGTGAAGTCGAAGCGGGTCTCTGTGAAGGTGAGATGCGAGCACATAAGTCAATTTTCCCATGGGAATCGAGACTACCATAAACCAGCATAGGCACGAGACAAATAGATGGAGAGGCCCTAGAGATTGATGAAGAATTTAAATTTTGGGTTAGGAAAAAAAAAAAAAAAAAAAAAAAGATGCTTCTCATCTCAACTTACCGATCAAAAGGTAGTAAAAAGCATAATAGACAATTCCGCCAAGACCGAGGCGGCATGTATTTCGCGGGAGATTCTTGATGGTTTTGGCCCATGATTCCCGAGAGCGGAAGCGCTCACGGTCCATTGTTGAGGCGCCCCTTGAAAGAAGTGGTCGCGACTCCCCAGATGGTGATTGATGGCTGAAATGACTGTTGCGGTTACTGTTGCTGTTTCCATAATAGCCCTGGCTGTAGCCATTGCTATGTCCATTACTACTGTTATATCCAGCGTGTCCATAACCGCTTGCTGTCGAGGGCGTCTGGTAATGAATCCCATCAGCTCTTATTTCGTCGGGATACAATTCTCGTTCAACATACTTTCCAAATGGCCAGAGAAGATAATAGCTAAGGCCAATGACCACGCTTCCATATGCACTTCCACCGAAGGGGATCAGGAACAATACAATAGCGACCAAGAAGCAGATTAGTGATAGCCACCAGCCGAAGACAAGAGTCCAGAGAATATTGCCTACAGACAGATAAAGATCGGCGGATGGTTGGGAGTGCAAAGCGGAATCAGCTTTTTGTTGAACAGAGCGTGTCTTCTTGTAAAGTGCTGGTTTCCAGAGAGGCAATCCGAATGGATGTGTTTGATTGATGGTCTATAAAAAAAAGTAAAAAAAAAGTATTAGACCAATTCAAAGACTAGACTAATGTGTAACGTTACTACTTTACTGTATTGTAGGATTATGCGTCTGTGAAAGAGGATCAAATGACGCAAACACTCGCTCAAGTGAAAAAAAAAAAAAAAAAAAAAAAAAAGGAGAGGTTGTTGCGGTTGCATCTGTGCATGGATGAACAAACAGGGGTAAAAAGGAGAGACATGATCACAAGTGTAAATACATGATCCCAACTTTGGGTCGCACATTTAAAGTTGGTCTCAAAAAGTAAAATAAAAAATAATTTAACCCTTCCAAATCCGGATGTTGTCAGGAACAAGCAAGGTAGTTCAGGGGCAGTAAACAGTATTACGGAATAATTGATGCTGACTCTCCAGCTCGTGAACGAGCAAAACGACTTTTTTCATGCTCTTTGTCGCGTGCGCACTAATGATTATATACATATCACTCATAGCGAAAAAAAGGGTGTCTATGACGATAATTGCACATTACCTCTTGTCGGTCTTTCAGTGTTAAGGGCTCAACATCACTCTCCTCTTCGTCTTCGTCACGCTCTTCACCAGAATGGCCTGTGAATGACGGATCATGACTCTCATGGACCCGCGCATCATACTCATCCTCTGGATGAAGCCGCACAGATCGTCTTGAGCTGCCTCGCTTTAGATAACTGGGACGCTGCTCATAACGGTTGTCCGAGTCGCCATCACCACTTTCGTCTTCTTCCTCAATGTCACGATGTCTGATTGAAGACCGAGTTGAGGCAGGCCTTCCAGTATGTGATCGTCGGCGTCGTTGGCTTGACAGTGATGAAGGAGGCGCTCCTGCTGTGGAATGTCTATAAACGGGCGATGACTTTGGACGCCGTGAGTTTTGAGCTGCGGAGTTCGCTGATCCTGTTGAAGCGTGACGGTGGGACGTTGGTCGTCCTTGTGATGAGGAATGTTCTGAAGGGGGTGGGTGATACTTGACTGTAGAATTGGAGGCTGTCGAATCAAATGAGTTAATAGAGACACGCCTGGGGTCATTCTGCAATGATGCTGGATGTAATCCGGGGCGAGTATCATCAGGTGAGTTAGCAACAACATCCTCACTCAGTTCAAGATGCTCTAGATCTGCACTCTGGTTATTGGCCCTAGAATGCGACATGGTCTCCGCCTTTACAAATGAACGCCCTGGTATTTACGTATAAAATAGGTAGTTTATCAAAGATGTATGGGTAGAATCGTAACAAAAAAAAAAAAAAAAAAAAAAGAAAAGAAAAAAAAGACGTTAAATGAAGTCCTCGTGCAAGAGACAGCGAGGAAAAGAAACAGAATGATGGAGCAGGCGTTAGATAATAGATAAAAGAAATAGAGAAGTGAAGAGAAGAAAGGAAGTGAGAAAGTGAAGGTGTCGAATAAATCCTGTGTTGGCCTAATCTCCTTTACCCCTTCTCATTACCCCTTTTTTTTGTAATTGTGCGTGAACATAGGGGAAGAGTCACGCAACGCACTAATGTGCTCTAGACTAAGCCTCTTTCACTGTTGCTTCAACTAGCCTATCATGTGAGTCAGGCACATGTGTAACCAGGTTCGACTGTGCTTGAAAAATACATTGGAAGAAAATGAAGTGGCAGTCAAGCCTTCCTCACTCTTTGTCTTCATTTTGATATAAATCTAACTAAACAGGCATTTAATATCTAGACATCAGATTTTGAATTATGAATATTTTGGAACAAAAAATAAAGATTTATTAATAAGAAAAAAAAAATAATCTAATCTCTTACAGCGGGCTATCACCATGTCCGCTATCTCGTCGGAATGAATTTTCAGGAGCAGTAGCGGCTGTGGCAACGGACGGCGACGAAGAAGAGGAAGAGGATGGATCAATGATCAGATAGGCTCGTTCATCCTTCAATGGCGGTGGCAACATGAATTCTGGAATTGATATCCGTCGCTCATGAAGACGACGTCGATGCTTTTGTTGTGATGATGATAACAATGGCTTGGTCAATTCTGTAATAGGATGGGTGTATCTACTACTAAAGTAGCTGTTGCTATCGCCACCGCCGTTGTAAATACCATGTCCACTGCCATTAAGTGGTGCAAGAGCTGGTGATGAAGGCGATACCACTGTCAAGCCTAAAGTCTTATTCCGGGTTTCATTTTTCAGGGTTGTGGGTCGTACTGTATTCAACCTTCCTTCCTTGGGATACATTTTAAGCTCACTTAGATTCCGTGTCACATCATTGTCGTCTTCGTCTTCGTCTTCCTCAGCTCCTTCATCATCTTCAAGATAACCATCACTTCCTACATATTCCTCCTCTTTGTCTTCCTCATGATCATCGCCATTATCATCGCTATCATCGAGTCTTCGACTTCTTTCATCGTCTGCAACGTGCCCATCTGATGATTTCAGAAGAAAATTATTACACTGAGCTGTCAATGATTCAACATGGAATGGGGATGCAATAGAAGTTTTCTCATCAGTTCCTATCAGTATCGTCGAGTCCATGGATTCCTTTTCATTTAATGACAGCCCTAGAATCATAGCATCCGTATTTGCAGCTGCTGCCGCGGTTTGGATATGACTGCTCTCTGCTGGTGTCGTAGAGGAGTTTAATGTCGTTCCCCATGTTGTCGATAAGGGCGTAATAGGAGAAATCGGTGAAAGACAGGAGGATGTTGGTGTTATTGATGATGATGAAGAAGAAGAGAGTGATGCCGCAGTCGTTGTGATCAGGGGCTTCAAAGCCGAAGTCGTCATCATGCCTGCTGCTCTCCAATAATCTTCGGTTACTGCCAACATCATCGGATCTTTATCGACCAACACCCGAACTCGAACTTGACCTTTCCATTCCATCGCCTTTAATATGTACAAGGTGCGTCCCTCAAGGCAACACCACCGACCCCCTTCCCAAACCATCGTCATTGTAGGGCATTCTTTGGTCATTTCCCTTTGACCAGCCTTCAATTCTCGGATTGACTCTTGTACCTCGATATCATCATCAAACTTTTCAAGCGATCCATTGTAATGAATTTCTGAAATATCAAGTGAGATGTAGTTGGGTACTGGAAGTGCTTCGTTCATAAGACTAGTAACGCTACCACTACCACCATTATTAGCACTTGAGACTGCTCCAAGGATTTGACTCCAGATATGACGCTCGCTCTCACGGGGCGAGAGAGGTGTTGTGGTAGCAGAATAGGAAGTTGTAGAATTCAGATGAAGCGGTGAAGACGCAGTGGTGGGATCCAACCTTGATAGCGCTCCCATAGAAAGTTCAGGGAGAGAGAGAGAACGGGTACTACCCAATTTCTTACTCAATAACACAAGCTCTTCTGAAGGATGATGTAGGTTATCTAATGATTGATCACTTATGCTGGATGAATGTTGCTGCGATAGTAATGGTCTAGAGTTATTTACATCTTCGGTTTGAATTTGCTGTCGCTGTAGTTGTGGAGGATCATGCTTATCACATTGTTTGTGAAGGTGGTATTGTCGGTAGAGATGATATTCATGATATCGTCGGTCTTTATGTTCCTCAAGAAATTCTGGTGGATTAATAAAAACGTATATCCTGGTCAATAGAACTAAGGCTAAAGACACATAGATGACTGTCTCTGTCGCCATTTTGTGTATATGTGTGTCGAAGTGTTGAAGGATGAAGTAAAGGATACAGAATGGCTTTTTTGTTGTTGTTGATGTTATTGATAGAATCAGAAGAAAAAGAATGCGCTGCTGCGTAGCAATGGAGTAAATTTGTTTATCGAAATCTCGGAAATGAATGCGGTGTTGGAAAAAAAAAAAAAAAAAAAATCTTTTTAACCCTACAATGAATGAAAATAGAAACTATTAACGGCACATTCAATTATCCATTTGATCTTTATTATTGGCGTTCGCAAGGCATTGAGGCCCTTCTTGAGCATTTGAATGCTCAAGCATATCAATGTGGTAGAGAGAGGGGAGGAGGGGTTGAAAAAAATAGGTTGGTTACAATTGTCAACATTCAAACACGTTCATGTCGAGCGATCTGGTAAAACCTTTACAAAAAAAAAAAAAAGCCTTGCGTCAGGAAGTCTGATAGGATAAGACAGCGCTTTGAGGAAACATAACAATGATTGGTGAGACGGAGTTGAAAGAAGTGAAGTCGAGGAGGTTCAATCTGTGGTTCTTAAAAGTGGTTATGTAGCAATTTATGGAGGAGGCTTCAAGGGGAGGAAAAGATTTTTTTTGTGTGCTGAAAGTAGGATGGTGCGTTAAACACGTATAACAGAGTAAATATAAAAAAAGATGCTTTGAAGTGATCTCCAACGATCAGTATGAATTGAAGGTGCTAAGCCCATTGATGTTTAGTGAGCATTTCATATTATGGAGCATGTACATGTTTTGGAGTGTTGTAATTTCTGAGTGGGAACCTGTTGAGTGGAGTGGACATGTGGATCCATGGTGTCAATGCTTGCTAAGCTTGGAACGTGCAAATGACTGAAGGGCAAGACAACATTGAGTTTTATCTCGCTTTTCCAAGTGATAAGCACTGACCACTGATTGGAACAAAGCAATAGACAGTAAAGTTCAGTTGTCGCATATTTGATTCTTCTTTCGCTCTCACACAACAGTTGTTGGTGTTTAAAAAAGAGAAGGAAGGCAACACCATGTTGTGAAACCAAATGGACAAATAAAGAAAAAAAACGCGGCGTGTAGGAAACAAGAAAATGATGGGAAAGAAGGGGCTATCAAGGGGAAATGGTTTGGGTTTGCATGAGTAGTGCGGCCAAGAAAGGGAATCGAGCGAAGCATTTTGCATAGTCTTTAGCAAACCAAAACAACAGCATTAACAAAAAAAAAAGGGTGTTGATGAGAATGGAAACAAGTTTTTTTTTTTTTTTTCTGCTCCAAGACTTACTTCGCCCGAGATTTTTTTTTTTTTTTTTGTTTTTCGTGTGATTGGTAAAATGAAGATCAATCGAGTGTGGATACAAAGGAAGAGCAAAGAAAAAAAGAAAAGGCAAAAAAGCTACGATACTACAAAGCTACAATACTATGATGCTATGATGCCATGATGCTACGATTTGTGATTGTACAAGAATCGATGTGGCAACCAATAAAGGGGATCGACCACATCTATTACTAATCCATGCACGGATTGCTTTTTTAAGTACAGCATAGCATTAAAAGTACAACACGCTGCAAGACTGTACCTTTTTTATTGTATATGTGGGGTATAAAAAAAAAAAAAAAGGAGGAAGAAAGAGAATGTTATTTGATGTGAAGTTACTTGAGCACAATGAGCTCTGTAACAAACGAATGGAGGAATGAAGGAATGAATAACTGAATCAAAGAATGAACAATGGAAGGAGAAGAAGAAGAAAAGAATGCTCTTCATACAACTGCGGTCAAGAAGTTCCACGACAAATTGCCATTCATGCAAGATGGACCTGGGAAACGGACCTGAATCTTTTTTTTTTATTTTTACGTGATCTTCAATATCAAACAGCTCAGAAACTCATTAATCAACGACCTTGTCTTTTCAAGTAAAGCACATGCTAGTGCAATGTAAACATATTGATTATATTACATATTATGGCTGTTGTTGTTGTTGTTGTTGTTGTTGTTGTTGCTGTTTCCTTTCGCAACACATAAACATGTCTTGTTCTCATTGGTAAAAGAAGTGTTATCAAGCCGCACGCGCTGAATGGGTGGAGGGACAATGTGCTCATTTTTTTCCTCTTTTGCCCATACAACCATCTAGTGACAAATAAATGATGACACTACACAAGAAAAAAAAATAATGACAAGCGGATGATGCTTATACAAGAATGATTGCTATAAAATGTCTAAAATGAAAAGGGAAAGGAAGGCGTTACTGAGAAGAATGAGTTACAAGACACAGTAGAGTCCTCGCTAGAAAGTCGTTGACAAAATATATTTTAAATGCTTTTTTCAATCAACGAAAATCTCTAGTCAAAAACGATGGTTGAATTGATTTAGTGGCTGTTTATCAGAAATGGAGGTTCATGAATCTTTGGTTGTTGACGACTTTCTAGCAAGGATTCTACCATGGCCTTCGTATCTAACCAAGGAAGGACTGTAATGATAATAGCGTCACTTCCAACTCGGCCTTCAAAAAACGAACATTTAAAAGTGCTCCATCTTCTTTTCTCTTTTTCTTTTTTACCCCTCGTTCCTTAACAAAAAGAATGAAAGATAAGGTAAATTGGCACTTTTCAAAAATCATTAGGCTTTCTACGCTTCTTATCAATTATTAGTTGTCTTTCTTTGTTAGCTATCACAGCGATCATAGCAAAAGTTATTTCGCCCATTGACAGGATTAGGGCCCCTGGCCCCCTTCTGTTCAAGCCTAGGGTCAGCTTTCTTAAACCTAATGAATCTCGATGACCGGCACCGAAACCATAAAGAGAGAAAACCTCCAAAAAACCCCAGAATCCCGATAAAAACACCAATAAATGCCCCATGGATGTGGTGCGTAAGTCTGTATCTTATTCTCACTTACTTTTATACCCGCCTACTTGTCTACTTGTCTGTCCAAAGCTTTTCACTTGTGCCTATATCTGTTGCTGGTAGCACTCTTTGTCGCATCCAGGGAGACTGTTCCTTCGCACCCACAGGCTGAGGATAGGGCGGTCGCTGTTGGCCTTCAGATGGCCACGGGTAATATTGCATATGCTGTGCGCCGCCGTTATATCGCAATGAAAATACTTTTGGCGATTGTTACAGTATAAGCGACGAATCCTCACTTGCCCAAAAAAGTTCTCACAGGATGGACGCCTCTTGAGCCTTTGGTTTTCATTGACTTTAACACCCACATAGCCAAAGGAGTGCTTCTATAAAGAAAAAAATTGAGGCAGAGAAAGAATAGCTTCCATTTACCATTTGCACAAACTAGGGTTGGGACGGTCCATTATAATGAAGAAGGCTTTGCGCTTGACGCGAACTGTTAAAACATTCACCGACTTTTATTATTATTTTATTTTATTTTTTTTACGGATTAGCAGATTTCCTTTGCCGGTCAATGCTTCTTTATTCCCTTCTAAAACACATGCTTCTGCGGTTGTAAAACTTGCCCAGGTAGCCTTAAGTTGTTGAACATACTCTCTGAAAGACGCATCCTCCCCATGTCAAGTTGGTAAATTGCTTTCGATCCCACTGCTGGCTGTGTGTCGTCGCCTGGATCGCCCATAGGCATTTTTATTTTTTATTTCCGGGTTTATTAAGAGGGAAAAGAATACTCTTCCACCTTTCATTATTCTTTTCATTTCATTGCTTGGAAAGAAGTAATAGGTTATTGAAATGTTGTATTGCAGATAAAGGGTCGGTTTATTGACTGGTGGTATTTAGTATCTTTGTTACATCTTTGCCATCATTGTAATTTTTTTTCTTTCCTTATTTCTTTTTTCTAAAACGCGTCTATCGGTTATCTAGAAGAGGAGCTACACGCAAATAGGTTCAATCTTCTAACTTTCAAAGTGCTGTTCGATTAGTCCTTCTGAAGGTGAAAAAGTGATGCTTGAGCGACAATGCGCCACGATTTGATGTAGTTTGTCGCATCGATCATGAGAAATCCTACATTTACATGGCATTGCCACATTTAAAAGAACTGTTGGATTTTGTTATCGTCACGTGTATGCCTTGCCACTGACAGTTGGTCCACAGAACTAACTGGCAGTTCTTGTTTATGTTTGTTTATTCTGTTACTGAAGGACCTCTATCATCGTAGCAGCCCGAAGTGCCTGGATTCGGCTGACCAACAATGAGGAAGGCGCCTTTCGCGTCTATTAAGGGGGTGGAGGCGAAAAGTTGTGGGCTGGGGCTATGAGATTTACTTGTACGAGGATGAATGCTCTCTTTCTTCCTTTCTTTTTCTTTCCTCTTCTTTTGCCACACCAATAGCTTCCTCAGCCCTCAATTTGATTTCCCATTAAAAAATGTAAGTGCAGGACTAATAAATTCAATTATCTACACCATAATATCACTGCTTACAAATGCTGTCATCCACAAAACGATTTTTCTTTCTTGGAAATATATAGACTACAAGTGAAGGAAGGAAAACAATAACCAATGTTTGGCTCTTCATCACGGACCGTACTCACGCCTTCAAAGGCCCTACAACTTTTTGATGTGTACATGGAGTACGCTCGCAGAACAGGAGGCAGCCGTGACGATGACATTGTCATGGAGTTATGTCTCGATGCGGACTCCGCTCTCTCTCGGATTCAGAAGTCAGTGAAAAAGGCCCTTGCCTCGCCAACCTCAAAAGAGGAGGCGGTGTTGCGTCAAGACATCGGCTCAGCCTACTATGAGCTTGCCCGCATCTTTGAACGGCTAGGTCGCGCAGAAGATGCTCAAAGACACGACAAGAAAGCAGAAAAATGGGGATATGTCCATGGCAGCGTTGTCATTCGTCAAGCGCCATCTATCAACAACACCAGCAACACTAACACTAATGTCAACAAAAAAGAAAGCAATGATACCAATGCTAAGACTGAAAAAGCACCTAAACCTATGGGTGTGAGAGCCACGACAATACATACCTCCGCAACTATCCCTAAAGAGATATTCGATTGCGATGTGCCTCCAACAGCCGTCAGATACAGCTTACCAGGCGCTGACGA